CATTTTTGTTGGTTGTTGTAAGTTGTCTTGTTGTTGATGATATTGTTGTTGATGATGCCGTTGTTGTTGTGTTGTTGTTGTTGTGTGTTGTTTTTGATTAGGTTGTGTTTTTGTTGATGTTGTTGTTGTTGATGTTGTTGTTGTTTGTGTTGATGTGTAGTGGTTTTTGTTTTGAATGTGTTGTTATGTTTGAAACGCTTTGCTTTCTAGTTATTCTTTATTTTTATTGTTTTCAAAGTGTTGCTTAATATTTATATATGCAAAAGCAGCAGTAATTGCTGTTGTGGCTGTGGTAGTTGTAGTGGTAGTAGCAGCAGCAGTAGTAGTAGTAGCAGCAAGAGTAGTAGTAGTTAAACTAATAGTTGTAATTTCGAGTATTTTTATGTCGTAGTTATGCAAGAAGTACTGGTAGTAGAATAATATTGATGTAGTATTTTTGTTCTTTGATTGTATGTGTGCTTGTGTGCGCACGTGTCTGCGTGTATGCATCTGTGTGTTTGTACGTGTGTGTTTGAATCTGTGTGTGCGTGTCGTTTTTTATAATTGCAACAGTAATAAGCTGGAATTACTCAAGTGATGTAGTTGACAATGTGTGTGTGTGTGGGTGAGTGTGTGTGTGTGTTTGCATGTTTGTATATGAATGTGTATGCGTGTACACACATATGTGTGTTTGTATGTGTGTGTGTACGTGTGTTTGTACGTGTGTTTGTACGTGTGTGTGTTGTTAGTAAATTTATGAGAAGTTGCATGCCTAGATCTCTCAATCTGACGCTCAATCTTATTTCCTTCCATGTGTGCATGCATCTTTAATGTATTTGTCTGTCTGTCTGTCTGTCTGTCTGTGTTTGTTCGTCTGTGTGTATGTGTGTACGTGCCTTCTTATGTTCGCGTGTGTATGTATGCAAGTATATCTAGGTATGTTTGAGCATGTCATTTTTTTGGTGATTATTTTCAATTACGTTAAATTACGCTGACTTTTGTAGAATTTTGAATTGTCGGCTGATGATTTGATACATGTGGATATATATGGATATATAAGATATATAGGATGAGATATTTAAAATATTTGAAATATATAAGATAGATGTTATATAAATTATGTAGGATACAAAAGATGATGACGACAATGGTGATGACGATAATGAGATGATGATGACGATGGGGATGATGGCCATGGTGATGGCGATAGTGCGAGATGATGATGACGACAACTACGATGATCAGAGGATTTTGATATTTTGACAAGACCAAAAACAATGGATAGACGTTGATGGGGAAAAATTTTTCATTTTCCCAAATCCTACCATCATTAACACGTGTCTGTGCATATTAAATGACTTGCCAGTTTGACAAACATGTGGACATGGAAATGAATAGAGAACATTGAAGAGGTAAGGAAAGACTGGAAAAAACGTAAAACGCGGAACTGTCGTAAGGTGATGGTCTAATGGAGAAGTCGCTTGTTCCTGCTGATGCAGTGTCTGGGTTCGAAAGCAAGGTGATCCCCATAGATTCTCCAAAATAATAATATTCCAAAAAATGAATGGAAGGCAAGGTAGAGAGAAAAAGTTGAACACATTTCAAAAATTAAAAAGTTACACAGAGATGAAGTTGAAAAGTGCAAATAGAATTTTAAAATGATCAAAGTGTTAATTCTACAATTTGAAAATTCAAACTAAACCGGGAGTGACGGCGATCAATTTAACCGTTGAGGTTATCGACCTCACGTGTTTTTTCCGGTTTGACTTTTTAAAAATTAAATAACCTTATTAAAAATTATTTAAATATTATTTATATATTATAAAAAAAAATTATTTATTTATATATATATATATATATTTCATTTTCAGAAAAAAATTACTCCCATGTCTGTTTCATCATCATTATAATAATCATCATCATCATCATCATTAAAAATCATTATCAACACCAGGATTCTCATTGTCATCATCATCGTCGTCGTCATCGTCATTATCATATTCTTTATCTCTGCCATAAATTTTCTTTTTTTTTTGCTCAAGCACTAATAAACAAGAGAAAAAAGTTGGACCAAAGAGAAAAAAGTAGAACCAAAGAAAAAATACAATCTCCCCGACCGTCATCGTCATCATAACCACCAATATCATCATTATCAACATCATCATCTTCTTTTTCTTCATCATTATCATTACCATCATCATCATCATCGTTATGGTTATTTTCTTCATACTCATCATCTACATCGTCATCATAACCTAAATCGTCATCATTATAGAGCCAACGAATGAGTGTAAAGATATGATGAGATGTGGTAACGGAGGAACATGTTCACAATTTTGGTCATCTTACACCTGCCAATGTTCACTTACTGGATTTGTCGGAGATTCATGTTCACAAGGTATTATAACTGATTTTATACTGTTTTAATTGTTTGTGTATGTATTTATTAGATTTGTATGTGTTTGTACGTGTGTGTGTGTGTGTGTGTGTGTGTGTGTGTATTTATGTATATTGTATTGTATGTGTGTATGGCAATTTGTGCATGTTATGTATGTAAATGTATGTATGTATGTTTAAGATGTGTTTTAGGTACCATCAAATATTTGCCCTGGGGTGCATTAAAAGGAGGTCAATGAATAAATTAAATGGTGGAGAATGTGTGCATTTGTGGTTTATGTTTTTCGTGTTTCTCCGTGATTGTAGTTGTTTCTGCTGTGTGTGTGTGCGTGCGTGTCTGTGTGTGTGTGCGTGCTTGTGTGTGTGTATGTGAGTTTGTATGGTGGATTCTGTTTATGCTGTCGTGTATGTGTCTGTTTGGTGACTTTTTTTATGTTTTTTTTTCACTTTTTATCTCACCTTCTCTTTTCCCTGCTTTTTTTATTATCTTTTTTTTCCCCCTCTCTCTTTTTCTTTTTCTTTTTCTCTCTCTCTCTCTTTCTCTCTCTCTCTCTCTCTCTCTCTCTCTCTCTCTCTCTCTCTCTCTCTCTCNCTCTCTCTCTCTCNTTCCTTTTCTG